ATCTCGTGAATCGTCACGCGCGGCGGTATCGAAGGACACGAGTGTACACTTACATACATCGTCGTCGTTATTGCGAACAATAGCATGGAGGAAGTACGAGCAATTAAAATGGTGTACTCGGAGTAATCGAGCGGGACTTTGTTCGCTGATCATCTTGGTCTGCTCGCGTATTTTCGCGATTGGAACATTCGCATTACACTTTCTCCCACGCCGTGCGATATAATAATTAAAAATAAAAATAGAAATATAAAAAACGATAGCAATCGCCGTTTTTCGAATAAAGCTGACACTTGTCGCTAAGCTAATGGAACATTAGCGCATCGTTGGGACAAATTGCCAGCCAACTAGCGCGGACGTTACGTAAATATTTAATTGCGGAGAACGCAAAGTCGGGGAAACCGAGCGGCTGCACATTTCTAAAACGATTGTCCGCTGGATCTTTAGCTTTCAATGAGTCCCCCTAAACCGTCTAACAACGCCGCGACGATGTGCGTGTGTATTAAAATTCGTCACACGAGCCCCGATTCAATTAACCTGCGCGCGTGTTTTCTATCGAGCTACGCGAGCTTTCTTCTCGTCCGGAGAACAGCTGAATTAATCGATCCGCCGGGGCAGCAAACTTTTCGCCGAATTAATTGCAAGGCGGCTGTTCTCGCAAGAGGAGAACCGACCGTTTAGCTGTTAAACGTCGCTGGACGCGTGCCGACGTCGCTCGGCTCGTCCGCGTGTAATTGAAGACTAATTGGAAAGCGGAGTGCTGGTAATTTACCGTTTATCCGAGACGAGCGCGCGACGATACGCGTCCGCTCTACTGTTCAAGTTCGCGCACGCACGCGTCCTCCATCTCTAGCGACGTCTCTATTTTTTTTCTCTCTCTCTCTCTTTTTCTCGTTCTTTTTTCCTCTCTTTCTCTTTGCAGTTCCGTCCGCGCACGGACATTCTCGCTCAGACGCGAAGCGCGATCTAGTTACACAAGGAGACGGTTCTCCCGCGCGAGAATGATTGCCGGCTCCGGGTCGAACGGTCGTTCGGGCAATCGTAGCAAGTTGCCTTCGGGATTTGGGTCAAACTACGCCCAGAAGCAAATCCTCCGCAATTCCTGGTACCTTGAACCCGTCCGGTGTCGTGTAAGACGCGTAATCGCGCGCTCCTTTGTAGCTCGCACGAGATTTCCTATCGTCGCAGCGAAGTGTTACAGGCACCGGTAATTCGACCTGACAATTGACCTGTCAGTCGTCTAACGATTTGAAAATCGCGAAACACGTGCCTGGCCATTTTGTCCGTGCGAATGTAGACGAAGGTCGTCAAGGTTTTGAGCAAAAACGTCAAAAGACAAAATCTTCATACGTAGCGAGATCGTCTCATAATGCGAACGAAATTTGCGAACATACTTCCTCCGTGCGATTTCATTAACCCGATGATTGAAAATCGCGTGTAGAAAGTTAGGGAACGTGATTCTCCATCGGCACGAGCACGCCACGACGATTGTAGTTCCACTTTTAGTTGACAGTCGTTTGCTCGCCGTCGTTTGCCTTTCGCGATCCTTGACGCGATCAGCCAACCGTCCTTCCGTTTCTTTTTTCCCTTCGATCCTTCCGAGACGAACGTGGAACGTGAACGAAGGCGGCTGGCTTCGTGCCTGCAAGCTAGAGAAAGCGGCACCGGTACATCTAAAGTCGCGAGCGTGGTCTGCAACGAGGTTGATCGCGCGTCTCTCGAAATCTGCCGGCAGCTAGTCGCTTCTCGCTAGTTCCGGACTCAATCGTCGAAACTTTTCTTGGTCAAAGTCGAGTGGTTAACGTGTGCAGCGTTGCTACAAAAACGCGATCTTTCTCGCGCCGATCGCGCAAGGTACATTTGCGCTTCGCCTCGGGCGGCGCGGATTTTTATGCTCGCGTAGGCGCAGCTGATATTCAGGTTAGCTGTGATCGAATCATTGGAAGCAAAGAGTCGATGGTAATCAACGTTCGCCTCGAGCGGTTTTTTTTTTCGAATCCACGATCATCGACGATCACAGACTCGATAAAGTACATAACGAGATTTTAACATCTTTTTTTCAGTCGCGAACATTGCTTAGCACTCGGTTACGAACCGATCGTCATCAATAATGCAATTCGAATTTCCTCTTGATCCTCGCGACCCGCGTTAATCGAGGAATATTTCCCGGAAAACATTGAAATCGCTAACGAGCAAATAATGGCGCCGATGAGGCAATCTCTTCGTCGCGAAAACAGATAACGAACGCCGGAAGTGCGTTCGTTAAAACAACGATGCCGATCTGACGGATTCCGGCGCGTTAATGATTCTTAAGCGGCATCTCGATATCGTTCTCCAGTTTACACTTTCACCTGGACGCAATTTCCCGTACAAATGACCGGTTATTAAATTCTCGATAGTGTTAATTAACACGACCAGACGAAGAAAGAGAAGAGGAGAAAAAAGAATAAAATAAAAGGAAGAGAAAAAAGTAAAAGCGGAAGATCGTTTTCGGTGTGTCGATCGGCCGAGTCGAGCGTCGCGCAATAACGCTTCCATGCGATAGCGAACTGCATTCTCGTGCTTTACGTAAGTACGACGCTGCTGGACAGTTACGAAACGGTCATTAAACTTCGCTTAGCTCCGCGCTTAGTCCCTCCCTAAACAAATCAATGCAATTTATCCCCCTTGGCGGGCGAAACGCTCGGAAGCGGCCAGGCCTAGGCGCATAATTTCGCTGGTTCGCGGCGGACCCCGCGAACGACCGGTTGCCGATCGTGACTGTTTCGTAAGACACACCTGCGAGTCATTATCCCTTGCCTACCTTGGCTTTCCCTGGAAATAAAGCTATTCTCTCTATCTCTCTCTCTCTCTCTCTTTCTCTCTCTGTCGCCAACGTTGACGTTGCAGAACGATCGTTTTCTATTATATCTAGCCGCTAATCCAAATATGTATTTCGCAACAGAGTCTTTACAGCTCGTCGAAACGTCGGACACCGTATCATTTGATGCTTACGGCACGGAGATTTTTGAAGCAGATTTACACAAATTGCAGGTTTACATACGAGGTGAAACTTGTAACGGCGCCGACTTGTAATTTGTCAGTTCATTAACTGTTGATTGATATGTTTTGTTATCCTGCTATCACGTAGTTAGATAGACAGAGAGTGTCTCGCTGAATCGTGGGCGGGAACGAATATTCAAAATTGAATATTAGAATATTCAGTTCGTGTATTGCGATTTCGTGGAATGTCGTGTCGTTGTGAATACAACTAAAAGAAATGGAGCAGATGGAAGAATTACGTTGTCGTTATTGTAAATGTTATAACAAGTGCTCCCTGCATGTTGTGTGCAATCTTCGTATTTTGTTTTTTTAGTACAAATGGAATTTACGTCCATCGTTTTAACTGCGATGACGACGAAATTCGTCTTTCGGAAGCCTCGATTTTTGACAATTACGATAACATCTCGTTTCTAGTGTCTCTCCCTCAATTCGAAAGAACATTTTCCCTCGAACCTCTCTTCTATCGTGCGCATTAGAAAACTGACGTACATGTATGTACAGTCCTTTGTTGGAAACGAAAGCATAGAGAGAAAGAGAAGATGCTCTCATGCTCTTGTGAATAAACATTTTCCATTTTCTGGTAAACTCGGGCTGGCTGGCGGTGCTGGAAATAGCAGCGGAAGCAACGGCCGCGGCTTCGGCGCCTCGACACCGATATACAGGGTGGATCGTGCAAATGTGTCATTCGCAAACGAGAGAGGCCGCGGCAACTCGTCGGAATTCGCGGAGTGCTCGTCGAAATAAAGCCCCAAGCCGCTCGGGTTGTTCTCGATAATTCATCGAACGATTTTCACTCGAAGGATCCTCGAGAATGATCACTCGCGGCCAACGTTCGTGAATTATGTACTCTTTTCCAGTGGTCTCGTTGCTCGCGTTTCTCCGACATCGAACGAAAGTGGATCTTTACCACGCCTGAATCAGCCTACCTTATGAGCGTGTGAATTCATTTATTTACTTATTTATTCATTCTCCACGAGTAAAGAAGTATCCATTGCAAACTGTGACACAATTATAAAAATTTTAAATGTAATGAGGTACGAGACTGAGTGAAAAAATTACAAGGAGAGTACTAAGTAATGAGCGTTTAAAAGATGGAAACGAATGGTTAAAAACATCGATCAAACAACGTGCATTATTAGCGTCGATAAATATAATTCGAATATTCTAGCGTTAATAAGTATAATTCGAATGTTACATCTCGGTGGAATTGTCAAGGTCGTTCCAAGGTTGGCCAAGAAATACCACGACCCTCTCGACTTCTTTCTATTCCAGAAACTTGAAGTCGAAACGCCTGAATCCGATTTTTCGACGGACGTCTCGGAGACCTTACCTTTCGCCTTGACATCGCGACCTACTTTTTCCGCTTTTTTTTCTTTCTCTCTCTCTCTCTCTCTTTCGTCGCGTGAAACTCCGCGAGAATTCGAGTCACTCGCGAGTTCGGTTACCGCTAATAGAACACCTTGGCCGCGAGCGTTTTTCACGTTTCTTTCGAACTTTTGTCAAAAGCGTCGACGAAAATGCCACACCCGATACGTCGTCTCGAACAAACGATCCACTGTCATTCGCTTGCCGGGTGCTTTCGCGAAGTGTGAATAATTACGCGCAGTTAGAGCGGCCGTGTTCGAATCGCGTGCCGGGATATTTCGGTACGGCTGGAAGAAAGCAACTCGTTTGGGGCGGCAAACCGGGACGGCAGAGAAGAAATGAAGGAAAATCGCGTTAGGCTCTCGTTGAAACCGAGAAATCGTTGACCCGGTCGCGTGCAAGCTTGCGTTCGATGACCATATCGTATGAAATTTTCATAAATACTTGGCAACGCGCGCTGAATAAAACACGCGGGCGCGTTATCATGGACGACGATCGATTTCCCGTACGCGAGACTCGCCAAGGAGGAACGGGTGCGTCGCGTCTCTCTCTATCCTCTTTTGCGTCTGAATAATTGCGATATTTTATTGTTACAGTGGTCTACTGCGACTACACCGCCTCCGGAAGGTCGCTGCAATTTCTCGAGGAGTACGTCGCGAAGGATGTGCTGCCATATTTGGGCGACACCCGAGCGTCCACGTCTATCTGCAGCCTGCAGTCTTCTCTGTTCAGGTGAGTCGATCGAAAGACGGCTTCTCTTTCTCTCTACTTACTGCCAGCGTGATACTTGGGCCACCAAACGATCGCGATAACGATCGAGGTTGCGGCCGAGGAGAAACACACGCGGCGCACGCGTTTATGCACGGTCGGCGGAGCGTCGAGCGCGACACATCTCCGGCGCCCAAAAGCTGCCGACTTCCCAGAACCAATTTCAATTACTGGACAGCTCATTAATCGAGAAATTGTAGCTACCCGCTTGACGCGATAGCTCGATAGCACGATGCAACTCATCGTTTCGAGTTTGTTGTTAGCGTTGCGTCGCCTTGCGTAGAGTTACTGTACGCATGCATGTATGTACATAGTCGCGAATCGCATCGTTAGAAAGTAGCCGAGTCCGCGGTGCGCGCCGTGAATTCGTAATCGGCGATTTCCTATGCGAGATTAGCATACCGTGGCGCGTGCAACGTGCAACGATTCCGGTTTACGTACCGTTTCCGCGGTAAACGAGACTCGTTTTCTGCGCCGCTCGACCGTGCTCGACCGGCCAGCCTTTCTATTTCGCCGCCGGCCCCCGTGGAATTCTATTTCAGCCTCGATTCCACGCGTTCCGTTTCACATCTCTGTACACCTCGGTTTTGACCCGCGTGCACGCTGGCATACATACATACATAGTTTTCGATCGAATCGCGGTGCCGACCCCGTTTATCCCTAAATCTTACGCGGTCGAACGTGTGTAGGGGGTGGTTCCGCTCGACGTCCCGTTCCCTGGCGTCCCCAGATCAATATCCACCGAGTCGAGCCCCGACCGCTTACCGGCCGGCCGACTCCACCACCATCACCACCACCGCCAGCGACCACAATAACGCGAATTCCTCGTTTCGCGCGAAAACCGTTTGCACGATTCGCTCGCGTCGGACTAGTGGCACGCGGGGTGAGAGGTCAGAGAGAAAGTGCTAGGAACGGCGATGCTTTCGATTTGGGAAAACTGTGGCGAAAGTTGCGACTTTTTAGCACTGAGACAGTGTCTCTCTCGCGCGTCGCGAAGTATCAATACCTGGTAGCTGCTAGAATTTGTTCTTAATTTCGGGAACTAGTTTCCAAACGAACGAATTTGCGAATTTTACGACGTCTCTAACGAAGATTTGCTTCCTCTTCTCTTAGGAGGGTAAACGCGAGTCTCGTAATTTGAATTCTTAATAGCTCGTCCGTCGTTTAAACAGTGGAAGATTTAAGACAGTTAAGAATACGGAAATTCGTAACGAAGCGCTTTCTCGAAACGACAGAGAGAGAGAGAGAGAGAGAGAGAGAGAGAGAGCTTCGCGAACAGAGGAACGCGAATAAACTGGCTAACGAACAATAAAATGATCGATGCGATGTACAGATAGTACTCTATCTAAATCCATCGTGGAACAAGCAGTTCATATAACCGACGTTTATATAACAGTTGAGATTCAGCTCGCAGATTCCCCTCGCTGTCCGATGCATTTCATTCGTACAACAATCCACGCGTTCACGAGCGAAATTCAATCTGCTGAAATTCGTTCGATTGTTCGCTGACCAGAACTTCGTTGCCGTAAATGGACGTTGTCGAGTAAATGAAATCCTCCTGTAATGGTCATAAAGTCCTGCTTGCATCTCTCTCTCTCTCTCTCTCTCTCTCTCTTTCTCTCTGTTCGAAACGCCATCGAGGCAAGGCGACGCGAAACCGCGAGACACGCGTTCTTGAGAAAGGCAGCCTCGTTTGTTCTCGATTGGACAAACAAACCGCGAGTTTACGCGGATTTACGATCGTTAATGACCGGGGGAGGACTCGTCATTCGAGGTATCCTAACGGCAAGGATCGTTGCAGACACGAAGCCAGAGACATTGTTCGACATGCAGTGGGAGCTGGCGAGCAGGATGCTGTATTGTTCACTGGTCAAGGCACTGCGGCTGCCCTTTGTACGCTTTTGCGACACCTCGATCTCTCCAAGTCCACGGTGGTCTTCGTGGGACCGTTCGAGCATCACGGGAACCTGCGACCTTGGCGAGAATATGGAGTCAGGGTAAGGAGAATCGCTTGTTCATCGAATCTATTTTTACTTGTTTATTTAATTGGGAAGAAACTTGCTAAGGAAAGAAAAGGCACTTGTTAAGAAAAACAACGATACAGTAAAATATAGACAGATGCAACCGAAATGAAAATGTAAGTGAGATAATAAGAGGAATAATATCATATTTTGTTGAGAAATTATAGTGTCATATTTTTGTGAAAGAAATTTTGCTTTTCGTATTTTGTATTTGTATCTGAGATTGAGAGATCGAGATTAAGGTGTTTAATAATTTTGTTGGTTATGTTAGAAATATCGAATTGCTCAAGTTTGAATCTTGGATCGAAGGAGATATCTGAAAGGTGCACTTATATTAAATTCCTGTAGTCCTTTTTTAATTCTAGACCATCCGGACTATTATAGTTTCATTCAAATTAATCGTGTATTGTTCGAAATATTGTTATTATGTGTTATCTTGTTTCTAATGTTGTAAAAGAGAATTAATATCAATTGGCAAATTGAAATAATTTCTATATTAATATTGACATTAGCTACAAATTCCAATTATTAAGCTAATTATAATTTCTAATTAGATTTCCATCAATTATAATTTTCATCAGATATAAATTCCAATTCCTGTTAAACTTGTTACAATTTCTAATATAAATTACAACGAATATTAATATTGACATTAGATATAAATTCCAACTGTTGAACTAAAATACAGTTCACTTGAGGATTAAGTGAACGTTCGACAAATCACCAAAGAATATAGATTCGTTCTATATGTGAATGTGTAATATTTTTGAATCCAAATGTAGATTCAAAAAAGAAAAAAAAATTCGTTCGGAAATAGAGATTTCTTTGAAGCTTTAACCTGTTAAAAAATCTGTTTCAAATTAATTAATCTTTAATAAACGGAGAATCTCGAATGTTCGATGCGTTCAGTGACGGTGTTCTTGGCGTTTGAGTGTTCCGACAGGCATTGAGAGTTCCATTGAAGATATTTTCGAGTCACACTATTCAGAAATCTGTCCTCGAAGGATATTCCTGTTAGTATCAAGTCACTTGAGAATGAGTTACGATTAACCATTTAACGAGGTAATTTCGAATAATTTACCGACTTCCTCTCCCAGCGCGAAACAAATAAGACGTCCACGAAATGGACCTAGTATCCGAGTCAAGAAGAACACAAGTTCTGGTGCGCCTTTGTGCGCCAGAATTAAAGGAACCCTTTGGACCGTTCCTCCTCGCGAGACTTTGAATAGCCTTTGACACTTCGCGGAACACGAGCACGCGGCGCACGCTCTTCCGGGAGGAAGTCATTTTCGGTACTTTCCTTTGAAGTTTCCAACTCGTTCCAACTCCGGGAAGTTGCCATTCAATCCGAACGTCCCGTGACGACTTCTCGCTAAGTGAAAAAGAATTCTGCCGCCTCGCGTGTTGTTCGCGTGAATCGCCTGTATCAGAACGGACGGAACACGTTCAACAAGTCAGACACACGTCGAGAAACGCATGGAATATTCAGCAGCGGAGATTGACTCTGAAACTTTAACCGGCTGGTCTTAAGTAAGGTCTGGCCTTCGTACGATCGATAAAAACATACCGCGGGAAAGTAGAACTCTAAAAGTAGAACGTAGGAGGAAAGTGGAAGTGAGAGGGGGAGAATAATCTCGAGATATTCCTGACGATCGGCGCAGATAGTACGAGTGTCGGAGACCCGGGAAGGTTTCTTGGATCTGAATGATCTCGAGCGGAGCCTGATCAAAGTACGGGGCGAGGGTGTTACGCAAATGATCGGATGCTTCAGCGCTGCCAGTTGCATAACCGGGGTTTTGGCAGATGACGTCGCCACGACCCTCCTGCTGCATCAATACGGGGCACTTAGCGTCTGGGATTACACCACAGCAGGTAACGATTCACGCCGATATACACGGGTTGAAAACAACCGAAGGATGTTGGCGTAACGTAATGTTTGTCCCCTTTTACGACGAAAATATATCATCGCGCGACCATTCAATCCTGATCGATCAGCAGAGATATTACATATGTATATGCGAGGTTGCGTAAAACGTTGTCTGAAATGTCTGACTGTCGCTATTTATTTGATTGAAAAACGAACCCACAAAGATTGAACAGTATTTGAAAGTTAAGTTTCCAAGTTGTACAAAATAGATGAATATCTAAGAAGAAGAGACTCTATTTCTAGTATTTAACCCTTTGCGCTGGCAACTGGTTCGCGGACCATAACGAGTGACTGAACCGTATATAATAAATTCGTCGCTTTCTTTTTCCTTTGAACTCGTCGGTACAATGTCACCGGATAGAAATGATTCAGAAATAATAAGCTTATCACTTTGTTTTGCCTGGGTTAAAATGTAAATATACTTAAAACTAAGAAAATGTTGCAACTGGGGACGTACAATTGGCACGTCGTTCCAGCGCAAGAGATTAAAGATCGATCTTTAAGAAGAAAGATGCAACTCGAGTAAAAGATTTGGTTACACACATGGAACGTGACGATCAGACTAATCCAGCAGTTACCACAGAGACACGATCTTTTTTCAGTCAAAATTTCCCGCAGATTCTTAACCTAAGTACACAGCTATTCTACAGTACGCCTACTTTTCAGCGCCGTACGTGCAGATCGATATGAATCCACATCTGCCCGGCGTCGGGGAAACGACCGTGTACAAAGACGCGATTATTTTCGCCGGGCACAAGTTCATCGGCGGAGTTCAATCGCCCGGCGTGCTCGTGACCAAACGGTCCCTACTGAAAGATAAAATTCCCACGGAGGACATGCGAGACTCGCACCACTATCACCGAGACTCGGAGCTGCGCGAGGAGAGCGGCACCGCGGGTGTCGTCGAGAGCATCAGATGCGGACTGGCGGTGCAATTGAAAGAAAACGTCACGCCACGAGCGATCGTCGCTCGTCAAGATAAAATTTCCAGGTACGTCCTTTTCTTCCATTTCTCTTTCCAAGAGAAGACTCTGCGAATTTGCGCTTTCTTTAGTCGAAATCGATCGGGATCGATCTCTCGCCGATTTCAGCGATCGTTCGAAAACAAATCCTCGTTAAACGATCTTGATTGCCGTTTTCGATCCACGTTTCCAGCAGGCTCTTTGTTTCGAACACGAGTTTCGTGATACGTGCCTCGCTTAGGGGAAAATATCGTTGATAGCCGAGAATCGAGTTGATTTCCGAAGCGGCTACGATTCGACGAAAATCGATCGGCAGTGAGAAACTACTTCTTTTATTGCGGATGGTGGACAGAAATAGCCTGGCTATTTCTTTTTTAGTCAATGGTAGACCAAACAATCGCGTGGAAAAATTGATACGACACGTAGAGAAATTGCAATTTTTCTCACATTGCTTCTCAGCATTTCCTATTGTAAAAATAAGGCGTCATTAATCTCGAAATCCGTATATTAATTCTTATCGTAGCAACACTGAGTTAATCTCTTGGCATACGAATTAAATAAAGTGGGTAACTTGGAATATAAGATACAAACATTGAAAACGGCCGTATCAAGCATGTGAAAAAATATTCTTTTACATCCTTGTATACGTATCCTGCGAACGTTTCATTGTCGATTTTAGCTTTGGAAACGCACGACGTCTCCCAAACGTCATTGTGTGCCAACAGTAAATTTCCGACACTTCTAACACTTACGATAACAACTTTGGTCAAGTAAACAATTAACAGAAAATTTCATTTTTCAATATACGCACGTGTATAGCTCGTAGTCGTAGATGAAACGTGCAAAGTTTACGCAATTTTTAATCGATCGCGCGAGAGAGAAAATAGCCCTGATCGATTTCGGACGAAGGCTCGACGACGTAGTGTAGAGAATGTTTTCAAAGATCGGGGCGATCGTATTTGTAAAACACACGTTCGATGCTTCCTGCAGGCAAGTGTTGGCGCACGTACGCACGATTCCGGAACTGATACTGCTCGGCAGTGGCTCGCAGAATGTCAAGAGGCTGCCGATCTTTTCGTTCATGGTGCGTCACCCGCGCGGCACGTTCCTCCACCACAACTTCGTGTGCGCGGTGTTGAACGACGTGTTCGGTATACAGGCGCGTGGCGGTTGCGCGTGTGCCGGACGTTACGCTCACGACCTGATGGGAATCGACCAGGAACTCGCCAAGGAGTACCAGAGGGCGCTCACAGAGGGGTAAGAGCAAGTGGAGAGAAAAGTTTCGGTTCAATCGTGTGTCGATTCCGGTCGCGCGGTGCTGCGCGAAGGAATCGTACCGTTGAACAATAAGACAGCTGCACGTAACCTAACGCTTGTTAATTTGTCTCGTTTCCAGGGAACGGAACAGCGAGAACGAAGAGAAGAACGCGGAGGGTTTGAGGCCAGGTTTTGCGAAGCTCTCGTTCCCTTATTTCATGTCGGAGGCGGAGGTGGCTTTCGTGCTGGAGGCATTGAAAATGGTAGCGACCGAAGGCTGGAAATTGCTGCCGCAGTACGTGCTGAACCCGGACACGGGCGAATGGCGGCACCACACGAACAGCGTGTTCAAGGAGCGAAAGTGGCTCAGCTCGATCAGATACACGGACGGGAAGATGAACGCTTCCGAGAGGCGGGTATCCGGCTCTGGCGTACTTCCGCAGAACTACGGCGACTGCCTGCAGACGGCGCGCAACATTTTCAACCGGGCACGGAAAATGGCCCAGAGGTATCCGCTGCAGATCGATCGTAGCTACAACTTCGTGCCAGAACGTCTGGAACCGTTGCGGTGGTTCATGCTGCCGAGCGAGGCGCAGGATCTTCTCCTCGGTAACTCGCAGAACGTGAAGCAGGACGTGCCTTTCAATCCGATGCTATCGTGGAACAAGCACGGCCATCATACGCCGACCACCACTCACGACAGCCTGGTCAACAGTCTGGCCTTGGCCAACAGCATTCGCCGGTTGAACAGCGACATTCCGCGAACTGGGAACGTACCGATTTCGCAGTCGAACTCGCCGAGGCACCGAAGCCTTCCGGTATTGAGCACCGTCAGGAGAACGTTGTTGAACGCGGCCGAGTTCCAGTCGACGTCGAGCTCCAGTCCGACGAGCAGCAACGAGGAGGACCAGTCGTCACCGGCCGTCACTGTAGTCGATCGAAACGCCGTCGACTCGGGCGGTCAAAGGTCGCCTGCCACCTGCCCGAGTTCCCCGATGCCGGTGAGATTCGCGGTTGGCGAGGCGGTCACGCCGTCGGCCCTTGGCGGCATGTCGCACGCCGGCAACAGGCCAATTAAAGAGCAAAGAGATCTGATGGAGTCTGCCAACACTGGTCGTGCCAGGTGCAACTCCCTCGGTAGCACGGCCAGCGGCGGTGGCAACGATCCGAGCAATCGGAACGTCGCGTCCTCCTCGTCCTCGCCGATCCCGCCGCTTCCGCTCAGCCCACAAACTTTGACCAGCCTCGGTCTCAGCGGAAACAACGGCGGCAACCAAACGAGGCACAAACGACATCACTGCAGCTGCAGCAGCCAGACGGAGCTGAACTCTCTGGAGTTGGACAACGGTAGCCCGAATCACTCGATCTTGTCGTTGAACTATCACAACGCAGCCTCGCCGCCGTCCTCGTACTTCTCTGTTAGCGACTACACGGATAAATTCGTCGGCGGTGGTAGGTCGTCGCCGATCTCGGATCGAAACGGCGGTCAAAGATCGGAAGACGATCTGCGAGCTTACGTGAAAGAAGTGACGAAGGAGTTGGCGACGGAGATCAAGTCGGAAATCCGAGAAGTGATATCGAAGGTGGACGATGCGCTGTCCGAGACCAACACCTCGGAGAACACGCCGCAACATCACTCGCGTAATCTGAACGCCATCAGCCAGCTGTCCGCGGAGGAAAAGCAAACGAGACACGACTCGTTTACGGCGAGCGATATCGCCGAGTACTTGATGGAATTTTCGAAAGAAATGGCCAGCGAGGTGAAATCGGAGATCAGATGTATGGTGAACGCCGTGGACGGATTGCACAGACACTCTCCGGACGCGTCGGCGTCCGACGTGTCGTCGAACGGTTGTGGCTCGCCGGATCGGGGGAGGATCGTTCAATCCTCTTCCTCGCCCAGAATATCGAGCGCCAGACGAAGCGGGCCGATAGAGATCTCCGGGAAGGTCGGTGAGCTGACGCAGCAAGAGAGCAAAGTGTCCAGCGAATGTTCTTCGGACGAGACGGTGATCTACGTGATGAAACCGCCTGAGAACGAACAGATCGCTGTTCGCAGCCAGTCGCAGAAAACGGACGACGAAGAAGTTTTGGACGACGACTTGAACGACGACGATTCCCAAGAACGCGGTGGTTTGGAGATTGGCGACGCGCGGAAGATCCTGCCGAAAATTTACTCCGCGGTGAATTCCGTGAGCTCGCAGGATAGCGGTATCAATCTGTCTTTTCACGAGAGCGACAAGTCCCTGGACTCGATGGATTTGAAGCGTAGCAGCAGCGCGGAGTCCAATTCGACCAACAGTTACGGTCGCAAGCCTAGAACTGCGTCGATGTCCGCTCTGTCGAGCAAGTCCAGCTGCAAGCAACAAGTCCGTCAAAACGACGACTTCTCCGAGGACGAGGAGTGTTCGAGCGACCTGAAGGAAGAGGAGGACGGCGACCTGGGTGCGACGTTCGACACGAAAGATGGGAAAACGCCAGAGGTATCTCGGCCCCAGTGGCACTGCCCGCCGAAGAACATCTGGAAGCCAGCGGTCGAGGCTATGCAAGAGTTCGACATGATTCGAGACAACGACAGAGTGCTGATCTGTTTGTCGACCAACGGCAAGAGTTCCTTGTCGTTGCTGCACTCGTTGCACCAGTATCGATTCTACGTGAGATCGAAGGGCGTCGACTTCGAGATCGGCGCGGCTACGGTGAACGCGCCAAACCGATCCGACCCGCTGGAACTGATGACCTACCTAAAGGCCCTGGACGTTCCTTACTTCTACGAGGAGCAAAGCAGCGGCGAGCTGTCGAAGACAACCGGTAACACGGAGAATCATCCCACGGAGGAAGAAACGTTAGACGCGAGCGGAGCGTGCAGCTTCTGCAACCGTGAGACCAGGGCGCAGTTGTACACGATCGCCAAGCGACACAATTACAACGTGTTGGCGGTTGGCCAGCATTTGGACGACCTGACCGAAGGTTTCCTCGTCTCGGTGTTTCACGGTGGCAAACTGAAGACCATGAAGGCCCACTATTACATACGTCGCCAAGATCTCAGGGTCGTGCGGCCGTTCGTGTACGTCCGGGAGAAGGCGTTGAGACAGTTCGCCGAGAGCAAGAAGCTGTTGGCTTCGTGGGAAACCGGGTCAAGTGACCTTCCCGAGGTGAGCTTCTCCTCGCTCTGACGTTTATTTATATCTTTAATTGCTTCCCGCGGTGCGTCCTCCTCTCTTGCCCCTCCTCCCTGCTCCACTCGCTCGCCCCTGTTCGCCTTTAATTAGACGCAATCGATAATTCTCACGCACCGCTCTTGACCCGGTCCGATTTCAATCCAGCGTCCGTTCTTCGATAGAGTCAGCTCCCCGGTTCTGTTACAGAGGCAGAAGCAAAGCAAAGAGCTGATCCTTCAGCAGGAGCGCACCTATCCTCGACTCTACTGGTCGTTGAGGACCGCGTTGCGGCCATTGATCGACTCATACGGACAGCAAGTCGATCTGGATCTCGCGTCGCCCGTGGGAAACAGTTCGTCCAGCGTGGCGACTAGTTCCAGCGGGTCCAGTTGCAGTTCGAGCAGCGGTAGCGGTGGACCCAACAATGGATCCATCACCACTACCGGTGTCAACAGCCAGCAAAAGAGGCAGCGAAGAGTGAAAACGAATTCCGCCACGACGCAGTGTCAGCCGCAGGAGCCCGACGAGGACAACGACGAGACGGACGAGGAACCGGTCCTCTGAGGGAGACCCGTCGCGAGATGGGATTCCAATCGCGTTTCGATCTCATCCTCGCATCACCGTCGAAAACTACCGTTGTCGGCGTTCTCCGTCGTCAGGAGGAGGCGGTTGCGTTACGCCGCCGCTGTCGCCGCTGCTAGAATTCGAGATCCTGACGGAGAATGCCAAGAGATCGGCGTATGTGGGAATGTCAAGTGAAGTCGGTTGTGAGAGAGGGAATGATCGCGACGAAAATGGATTGACGATGAAATATAACATACATACATACATATATATATATATATATATATATATATATATATATATATATATATATATATATATATA